GCCAGGAGCAAAGGAGAACATAATGAGATAGGAAGAAATTCAGAGACAGATTTTGATGGATCAACAGTATTTATAAGAGGTAATAAAGAACAGATCTGACACTGCAGAAGACAGGGAATGGAGGTCTCTAGAGTTAGTGGCAGGAACTCACCTGGATTTAGTGCAAGTGAAAATAGAAAATGTATTGGTTTATCTATGGCAGTCCCTCCATATCATGGGAGAGTGTCCCAGGACCTCTGTGGTTACCCAAATCTGTGGATGCTCAAAGTCTGCTATATAAAATGGCATAGCACCTCCACATATCCTCTCTAACTTTAAATCATCTCTAGTTTTCTTACAATACCTCACACAATGTAAATGCTGTATAAACAACAGGAAAAAAGTTGGTTGTGTTTAATATAGATGGAATTTTCTTTTATGCATATTTTCAACTCATGACTAGTTGAATCTTAGGTGTAGAACCCCTGGGTACAGAAGACTGACTAGAATTAGAAATTAACATTGGAAAGTTGAAGTTTCCTGAGTGGTACCAGGAGTTATGAAAAAGCACGAGGGCAGAACTAGGAGTTGGGGAGGAAAGCCTCATTCTGAGTAAAAATAAAAACGATATTCTAGACAACAGTAAGAGATGGCAAGGGTATTTTCATTGGAGACCTACATTTTGTGTTTTCAACCCTAATTTGGGAGCTTATATGACTTTTTTTAGGAGAAAATAAAAACTTTATAATCTCTTGCCTGGGAGCTTATATTACTTTTTAAGAGAAAATAAAAATAACCCATTTATCTGCCATTATTGGGATAGAATTGTTCTTCTAAGCAAAAGTCCAACACCTACTTTCTTTTGGTGGCACTGGGCTTGAACTCAGGGCTTCACACTTGGTAAGCAGGCACTCTACCACTTGAGCCACTCTGTCAGCCCAGAATTATTCTTCTAGATAACTAAATGTTCATACTGGTAAAGAATATTCTCCTAAGCACCAAAATACATTTAATTTTAACTATTTGTTAGTTAAATATTTCTAATGAAAATATGCTTCTGCCTTCCTAATTTAGCCTTTCCTTGATAATTTGAGACAATCATCATCCATCAATCATTAGAATATCGGTTATCGTCCTGTGCTATCTAATTCCTTTATGATGTTCTCAAGAATTACTGAAATAAATGGTGACCTCTACCTACCTCTCAAAAAAAGCAAAGCAAAGAAAAAGCAAGCTGAATCTTCCTTCAGGCATAATGGGATCCAGAACCTTCACCTTGTCATCAGGAGTCCTCCTCTGACCCATATCTTGGCTCTCCTTGCTTCTGTCTGATGTCACTTTCATTGACTCTGCCTGTGATGACTCCAAATGACAGCTGTTGCTTGCAAACTTAAATAATCCTTACAGCAGCTAATCCCAGGATGTTCTTTGTCCCCCAGCTTCAGATCCTTTGAATGACTCTGGCCCTGGCCCTCCCTGCTTGGGTTATATCTACCCTTTTATTAATCATGGTTTCTAAGTGGGCATGTCAAACAGTCTAAGGCCAATGACCACCTCTGTGTATAGGAAAGTAGGCTGCACTCAAGAGCCCTACATGACCACAGGAGCAAAAGGAAACAGTTTCCAAATAAGAAAGCCTAGGAAAAAATGAATTTGTGTCTACTACAAAGGCATCATTTGGAAAATGAAGTAAACTCAGTGAAAAAAGGCAAAAGGAAGATATCAAACATTTAAAATAATAATAATTGTGGTGTTCCTATGGAAGAAATCAGAACCACTATTTGCAGATTAGATTATGTATTTTTATATGCTGTTAAAAAATAAAACCGATTATTGATGTACAAGATAAATATATAAAATGATCATCATCATATCATAATTATTATTTTGCCTTCTCTGTAGAGAAGAAAATGGTGAAACTGTACTGAAAGGTGTAATCAAATAGTATATCATCTACTCCTGGGAAGCCCAAGAAGACTGAAATATTTTTGAGATACATTTCCCCCCTAAGTAATTTTATATATTAGTGCTGTGCCCCTTAAAATTCTAATTTGTTTCCTTTGTAGAATTTTCTAAAGGACTCCTAATTGTCCCTTACCAAGAATAACTAGTTAAAAATTGAGAACATATTTAAAATAGAAGAGTAGCGAAGGAACTTGGTTTAACAGATAGTATCAGTCATACGAAAAAAAGTCCATAGGAGTAAATAGTCTTGACTATGGTACATAGTAGTATAAAATGGAGACCATTTTTAATATTATTTTCTCTTTCTTCTCCTCCCCTCCTTCATTCATTTTCTCTTCTCTTCCTATCTCTCTCCTTTCTCCTTCATTCTCTGCTTTGGACAGAGTAAGGAATAAAGCCTTAAAGAAAATGACATAAAATCAATCACTTACCATAAACTTGCTCCCATCCTAAATTGATGATTTTCACAAATCGCTTCTCAGTTGAAACAGTATAATGTAGTACAACATGTCGTCATGAGAAAACTGAGGACTGGTTCTAATGTGGCTAACATTTAGGGTTTGAATTGACTCAGGACTTTGATTTCTAGTCTCTGTCCTGCAATATTCTGGTTCTGATGCACTGCAGAATGGAACAAATACATACTACAGACATTTGAGGAATGTTAGATTAATTCCCTAACCCTACAAGGGTATAGGTACAGGAAAACCAGTGCTCTGTCAGGAAACCAGTTTGCCATACCACACATGCTCAGACATCCTGCAGAGGGTGGAATCAGGAGCTTGTTACTGTGGCCTGTCCCCAACATAAGCCCCCTTTCTGGTGGCACATCCCCAAGTCCTGGTGTTCTGGAAGATCCTGCTAGTGCTCAGCCCCGTGGCTTTCTCCTGTGAGCCTTGCTCCATGGTGTCCTTTTGTTTGACTGTGCAGCTCATGTCAATCTTAATATTTGTTTTGAGTCACATATGCTGGCCTCTAATTTGCAATTTACATGGATGATGGGGCCCTATTCAAAGTCCTGCTCCTGCCGCCTTTGTGCAGTTCACCTCTCTTCAGTAGTCATTAGGCTGAACAGCATATAATTAGGTAACCCATGCAAAGCTGAGATTTCTGAAAGGTTGCAGTTCTTTTCAAAAAGTAAGGGTTTCCATTTTTACCCTCATTCTTTTCTAAACAAAAAGACATTTCCCCCCAGTGGTTTTCATCTTAATGGAGTAACTTAAAAACAGTTAGTCTTGAGGTGGGTAATAATTTTGGTTTGTTTTCACCTGAGAGTCGGTTTTTGTTTACACAGCTTGTGTTTAACTCAGGCTGACTGAGTTCCCATCATCTGTAGATGACTGTGTTGCTTTTTGAAGCCAGTGAAATTGGCCTGTTTTAAAAATTCCTGAAGATTTAAAATTCACCCAACAAAATAACAGTTTCCAGCTTATTTTTGTGCTTCTCTCTACCTGTATTCGCAAACCTATGAAAAAAAAATACTGAAGAACAGATGTTCTTGCTAAATTATACTAATTGTGTTTAAGCTGCGTTCACTTGTCAGGCTGATTTATGATTATAAACGTGGTTTAAAAATAGTCTTGGTAGGGAGGCAAATGCAGACTCATAAAAGAGTAAACAGAAGTCTGTATAAATGCTCCATTGAAATAAAATAAGACAATGCATAGAAAACTTATGGATTACCATAAGTTTTATCATAAGAAATTATCATTTCTTACATCTGATAATTATTTTTGAAACAAGTAAGACAGTGGGAATGATTTTTTAAAACTCTGCAAGATTGAGAGGAAAATAAAAAGATACATCAAAGAACCAGGTTCACAATGATCAACTGGAAATTCATTAAAATCAGATTCTTGGGCCCCATTTACCAAAATTCCATATGGAAGATTGTGGATGGATTTCCAAAAGTTAAATTTTATTAAGTAGCCCAGAAGATATTATTGCAGAAAGTTTGCAGGTGACATTAAAAATACTTGCTTTGTATAAAATATAATTGATTGTACACTTTGTACAGGTATCAAGTGGTTCATATTTCTTCATTCCACCTTTTTGTGCTCCAAAAAATGTTAAGATGGATTTAAAAAATTGAAATTACCACATACTTTGTACTATAGCTTTTAGCAGAATATATTCTAATGGACAATCAGTCAGTCTCTCATTGCCAGATAGAAACACACCTGGTAATTATTGCTTCAACACGTGACAAACCTCAAGAAACAGAGAAGTGGACAGATGGGCAGGGTGTTGGTCATCAGTCTATATAAGTTCCATTCTGGTCTCTCCTCTCATTTGTCAGGCAAGTCATGCAAATGAACAGCACAAACAATATGAACTTTATATTTGGCAAAATGTGTCTGTTTTTCTCTTATATCTCTACTTTTGGTACTTTGGCTCAATTGTATTTAACATGCATTCAGATGGAGAATATTCCTTAATGTAATTGTTTTTATTTGGGGAGGATTAAATCATCACAGTGATAGTAGATGATAAAATTATTAGCACATATGACTAGGTCTCTTAGACATGAGCGTTTGGAGAGCTCAGCTGGAAAAGGATGAGAAGGGAATAGCTGAGAGGGTAAAAGCTGGAGAGTTACAGAGCTTCACTGCCTACTCTACTCACAGGAGTTGTTTTTAGTTTTAAGGCTGGATGGGACATCTCCTGCATCCCCTGGGATTGAGAATGTATGATGGGCAAGTTGTAGTGCTTGGTAAAGACATACACACAAAACACAAAGGTATGCCAACACAGTGGTATATGTAAAATCTTTTATGACTTGTATGATGCCCCATTCTTGGTCTTCCATTTCTTAGGCAGTATATTTTCATTTCAGGTATGATGTTAGTGAGACATAAGTGTAGCATAAAGAATTACTGTATCTATGGATTTACAAATGAAAGTTGTGAATGAAAACAATGAAAGGCAGCTTAAGGTCAGTAGGCTCTCTAATTTAGTAATGCAAGAATAAATAATATTATGACATGCAAGCTAGTACTAAATGAAATTACTAATTTATTGTTTCTTTTTTCAATCAAAACTGTCTCTTTGATCAGATTTCTTATAGAAAAGATGTAGAAGACAGCCACACGTACACAGCGGAGCTTGACAGACCAGATATCAAGAAGGCAACTCAGGTCTCCAAGATCATAAGCAATGTAATTTGTCTTTTTGAATCTTATGCAAAAAGTGATTTTTTAAGTTTTTGCAGAAGACAAGGCATAGCTTTGGTAGTTGGGTGGTTAATTTAATTAGAGTAATTAATTCATCTGAATTAATGACATCTCAATGTTTTCCTGAATTATTCATTTGATTATATAAAATACTTGGGTATGTGCAGAAACTGCCCAAGCTCGACTTGGCAATGCTTTTGGACTATTAAGTGCGGTTTGGGTAGAAGGTCACATTCAGCCTGAAATTCAGGATCATCAGTCTTCTGGTCCTATATAATCTCTTATCTCACCCTGATCAAAAGAACTTCGTTTGATCTCATTCCAACTTGTTGCTGCTGACCGTGCAGATTCTCTGCCATCAGCACTTGTCCGTGTGTATTTCCTGTGTAGCTGGGCCATGACTTACTTTTCTAAGATGTTCTCCTTAGTGAAGATAATTTCACTTAACCATACCAAAAATCTTGGTTAAAAATGTTTATTTGAATTAAAAATTGAAATAATATATGTAGACTTAGTATACTTTAAAAATAAATAATTGCTAAATTCAACTGCATGTTAATCAAACATGATGAAGTCCAATTTCTGAGAACAAGTAAAACCATAAATGTATAGAATGTAGGGTGTTAATTATCCAGAAATTTCCCCTGGCATTTTTTCAGTATTTATAAATAAATATGAATATAATAATGGCTTAGATCAAAATTAGTAATTACTTTGCTGCTAAAAGTTGAGTTTATTTAAATAATTACACTATAAAATAAATTTCTGTGTTAGCAGTCAATGTTTTGGTATTTGGTGTGATATATGGCATATTTTTAATGGGCTGAGGGTCTATTTTATTTTGACTGATGTTAATGTAATTCTTCATTAGAAAGTGGGGATACTTAATATTTTCTTATTATTCATTTTAGGCAGAATACAAAAAAGGGCAAGGGAAAATGAATAAAGAGCCTGCTATAATTGGAAGACCAGATATTGAACATGCTGTGGAAGCTTCTAAACTTTCCAGTCAAGTAAGGCTCAGAGAGCACTGATCCACAATGCCTTTATTCACAGATTTTGTTTCTAGGAGTGAAGGAAAATGTCTCATTCTTAAATGCAAGAATGAACAGAGATAATATTTCTGAAACAATTTCAGATAGGTTTGCAACAATTATAGATTTCCATCAAAGAAATCAATCTAGCTTAATTTTAAGCATAAAGCAAAGTTTTCTTCTCCCCAGGCTCACAGCTGAAACTGTTTTAATAAGTTTGGTTGCTGTCACATTTCCAAGAATTTCCAAAAGTCATCAATAGTCACAATGAAGAACTGTTTTTCTATTTATATGCTTACAAAATATAACTTAGTAGAAAATATCTTCTCAAGTCTTAAATGTTTTAGCTGAATTAGAAAATAAAACAGGGGTGTTAACAATGAACATTTGTTTTGAAATCTTATTCAAGAATACAGAAGAAAACCTGAAAAAGTATTAAAAGCTGAAAAGTAGGAGAGTTGAGAGTCTGAATAGATAAAATTTCACTTCACTCAGGATTATCATATAGGTGTCATGCAATTTGAACTAGAATCCTAAGATTTTTTTTTGGTATGGATAAAATGATCTTAATGTTTCTGTGGAAAGGAATTATCTTTAAAACTATAAAATTAAGATCAGTGAAGGGGAACATAAGTTATGAGTTTCCACAAGATAAGAAAAAAACCATTGTAATTAAATTGATATGGGATTGGTATAGTGAGAGCTAAAATAGTCAATAGGATAGAATAGACAGTCCTGAAATAGATTCCAGTATGCATAAAAATTTAATGTATGGTAAAAGTGTTGACTTAAGTTAGTGGAAAAAAAGTTACATTAGTTAACAAATTGTACTGATGTAACTAATCATCTGTCATGGTAAAAATGAAATTGAACCAGGTACAAAAATGGATTCTAGCTGGATTAAAGATATGAACATAAACAATAAAATAATTTTGAAATGTTAAAAGAAAATTCAGGAGACTTCATATATCATAGTGGGCTAACAGAATTGGGTTTAAACAAAGAGATCTTCAGAGATCCTGAAGCTAGAGAAGAATAATTAGATACATTTGATTGCATGAAAATTAAAACTTCTTTCAATGGAAAAGTAATACTTGCAGAGTCAATAATAATGTTATCAAACAGTAATTTTATATAAATCTATTTCTTATGTTGCAAAAGTCTTAATTGCATTACATTTCAAAAGAAGAGGTATAAATGATGGAAGATATGAAGTCTGATTGAGAACATGGAATAAATCCTGAACAAATAAAAAGATACACTGGGCTCTTGGCTTGAGATTGTCAACACTCCACCTCTCAATAATGTTAATTCTTCCAAAATTAATTTTAGAAACCCTATGCAATTCCAATTAGAATGCAAATAAGCCTTCTGAAAATTAGAATGAAATCAAATATTCACATAAATTAATTTAGAGCTCATAGAAGGAAAAGTCTTGAGAATAGTTGTTCAAGATATAAAAATGAAGAGCAATGATCTTTAAATATTTGGAAAAAGATATGTAATACATTAAAATGATATTTTAATATTTGTTGTATATATAGGTTCTTTAAAGTAGAAACAAAAAGACTAACGGCCCAATAGAAAAAGGGGGAAATGAGGTGAATAGACATTCCACAGAAAAACAAACCTAAGTGGCCCATAAACATCTAAAAAGATGATCAAATTTATTTGAGCCAAACAAAACAAATGTCATTTGTACCCATCGGCATTCTGTCTCTCTTAGTGTGGGAGAGAGGGACACAGTTAGAAAGGTTTTATGTAGGAGGTAGCTTTGAGCAACATTGGATTTAAAGGGAGAAAAGGCTCTGCTGAAAGGGAAAACCCCAAAGAAAGGTTGGGAATGAGGGTAGCAGCAGATGGACACAAGTCTCACAGCAGAGGCTCTGAGGAGTGGGTCATGAGCATAAACAGGAGTTTGGGGAGTTTTGAGGAGAAAGGGTTCAGTGTTTTATTAATTTTGACTATAGGCCTTGGAGAGCAGAGTAGGAAAAATGTGGGGGGGGGGTGTGTGTACTTTGTTTTGTTTTGCTGCTGTTACTGTACAATACATGTAAAACTTACCATCTTAGCCATTTGAAGTGTACAGTTCAATGAAATATTAAACACATTCGTGTTACTCTTGTCACCATCCATTTTGGAGACTCTTCATGCTGTAAAAGTGAAACTCTATACCTGTTAAATAACAGCTCCCCATCCCAATCTTCCCTGAATAGTGTGTCATACAAAAGAAATGGTAAAATGTGAATGTGGTTTCCAAATGTAATGGGGGAAACCTTTGAAATTTAAATTCCAAGATCAATAACCTATGACCATTTAACCTATAGTCTCTCAGTTAGCTACTGCTTTCAGGTGTGAAATGTGTAATCACTGTACATTTTGAGCAAGGAAGGATTGTGCAGATGACGTTATTTTAGGCAGGATAATGAGGAAACAGTGTGCAGGAAAACTGGCTTCTGGAGTGGCAGAAGTCTCGGGGGCAGCTGGACTTGGCCACGATAATCACACAGGAGGTAAATGGTCCCTGAGAAGTCCCACTGACCCTGGGGGTAAAAATAAGGCCGAGAAACAGGATAGGCAGAAGAGACTCCTGGCTGTGCCTCATTCTGTTTTACAATTTACAAGGCACTTTACCTTATATAACAACTTTGTGACCCAGGAGGCTGCTGATGACTCCCTGATTGGGGGTGTGTGTGTGGGGGCACGCTTGTATGACACTCTCATTCAGGGGCCAAGATAGACTGTGACTCCAAGCTCTTCACATTCAAAATAATGCTTGTCAAAGGGCCAGAGGATTAAGGTTTCCAACAGAGCCCCCTGGATTCTTGCAACTCCACCCTTTTCTGGGAATGAAGAGCTCTCGGTCCACTCTGGTTTAGTGGTTGAGAACCTGGGCTCTGGAGCAGACCACCTGGATTAAACTTCTGGTTCTATGGCTGGCTAGCAGAGTGACCTTGGACAAATTGCTTAATTTCTCTACCTTCAGTTTCCTCATCTGTCAGATGGGGCTGACACCAATATAGCATCTACTTCTTCAAGTTACTGTGAGGGTGAAATGGATTACCAGGAGTAGAACACTTAAAAATGGTTCCTGACCATAGAAGATGACACAAGTTCATAGGAATGATTTTATTGCAGATATCCAGAGTATTTTCCTTTCTTCCTTTTTAGATGAATTCATACACAGGATGCAGTAGGAATAGGAACACTAACTTTTAGATTACAGTCTTAAATTTATTCTATCCCAGTCATCTCAGAAGACAATTTTGATTTTTGAGCTTTTATTTCCCCCTATTTCAAATTCAGTCCACAAAAGTTCTTCCAGTTGATTCCTACTTGGTTTTTTTTTCCAATCTCAAATTATTTAGCAACTGAGTGATGAGATGCTTGAGTAGCTTGTAATTTGCAAGTTACACGGTCTCCATCATCTTTACTTCTTCATGACATTCTCACTGATCTGACGGTGTACAAACTTATCAGAACAGGAGAAAGCTGGGAAGATAAATAGATATGACTCCTGGAATGAACTCAGTGTGTTTCACCTGTATGCTCAGGTGTGTCAACTAGAGATAAAGGCAAAAATGATAGTTTTCTATTTTCATTGGAAACTTTTGACACCACGTATTCTCTCTGGCTCCTATTCTAATGACAAAGGCACCCAGGTACATAGATGGGAAATGGTTTAGGAATTCAATAAGCAGGGTAAGGGGGGGGCACAGAACGCAGGAGAAAAGAATAAGGTAGCACCGGAAGGCTTGTGAGAGAGAAGGCAGCAGCCATAGTACGTGATGACAAGACATGCTAATAAAAAGATGACAACACAGAGACAGTGGGCAAGATGCACCCATTTTGCTTGTAAATTGAGCTCTGTGGGATTTTATTCAGAACAAGCAATGGAAACTCAGATCAAACCCTTCTATTGTTAACTTGTACAATAGCTTTCATCTCACAGTTGCAAAGTTTCCTTCTTAAATTAGAAGATACAAAAAATTATGGTCAGATTATTAAAAAAAAAAAACCCAGTAACAAATAAAAATAAAATCTCATGTGCCAAGATAAAGAAATTGGCTTATATGTATCTCTAATATAAGTACAGCAGCTGCTGAGGTCATCAACTTAAGAAATTCTAAGAATTTCATCTGCATTCATTGGAGTTTGTCAATGGAATGAATAAAGTTGTTTAGTTTTGTAGCATCCAAAAAACCTGTATGTGTATAATAACCAGTATTTGTTCTAAAATTGCATTTGTTATATTGGTGAGTTTTAAACCTAAACAGTACATTATGGATTGCTATAAAATTTAGTCATAAATATCATCCTTACAATGTGAAGGGCATTAATCGGTGGAGAATCTCCCATTCTCCCTTCCTGCAAACATATCCTCTGCCAACCTCCTCACACCCAAATACCAGCCTAAATGTCACATCCCTGAATTGCCTTTTTAACTCTGCTCTCTGCTCCCCTTCATTCTCTGTTCTTATTACTTATAGTTCTTGACACAATTTGTAGCAGTAATGCGTGAGTGTGTGTGAGTGTGAGTGTGTGTGTGTGTTTTAAATATCTACCTCACTTACCACGTGACAGGCTCTGAGGCACAGGACTTATCCACTGTCTGTATAGAATGGCACAGATTAGGCTATTAATAAATAAAGAGACTGGTTAAACAAATTTTCTTTGGGTCATTACTATTTGGTGCAAGGTTAGTAAGAAGTTATTTTGTAAAGAAAAGATGGGCAGAGAGATTATGTTGTGTAAAATTGGGACTTAAGGTATGATTGATTTTGATAATGAGTTTTTCATTAAAATATCTGTTCGTACTGTTTTCCTTGACCACTTGTTGTTTAATTTCATCGAAAACTGGAGGGAATTGATGGTTACAGATATGTGTGATATGTCACTTACTTTTCATTTTCAATGATACTTAAGGTACACCCATCAAATTTCCCATTTCTTTCCTACACTTGTTTATATGGCTACAGTGAAAAGTTCTCCTTCGGGATCTACATTTTCTACCTCTGCTGGCTCTTACGGAGTTTGAGCCATAGTTGTGTCACAGGGAAGTCTGCACCCATCACAGTGAGAGCCTTAGAAGTCACCATGGAGACACTGCTCTGTGCAGAGGCATTTTGAGGATGAGTCTAAGTTACATCATCACGGCCCACCAACAGAGTCAGTGTGTTCTCCAAGTGTGTGCCTCTTTAGAGAACTTTTAGGAGTTTGATCCTATATGCTTAACTTATATTAAAAAGAAAGAGCTATCAGGACCACTGGGTGTGCCGTTCATAACCTAAATAAAGCTAGTCATCTGAGTAAGTAACTTCATCTGTTTCTAGGTACAGGAAGTAATGTTGCATCTTTACGACCAACACTTATTTCTCCCATTCGATAAGAGATGCTTGTTCCATGGCTGGGTAACCAGTTACAGGTCATCTCTTGGGAGACTTGAGTGAATGTGAACTGTGGATTGAAAACAGTGTAGAATGGTGGATGCGTCTTTTTAGTTACGGAGTGAGTCAGTCAGATGGTGAGGGATGCAGCCCACTTAAACCATTTGGTCATTTTCTTAGTTCATGTATGTGCAAACCTTCCAGAAGAGTGAGGCAAGAAACACTTTGTGTGTCAGTGTCTGATCTATGCATTTTTAATATAATGATGTTATTTTACTTTGTGACTAATTAATTTGTTCCCTGGGCAACTTTTGAATCAAATCACTGGTTACTGAATGTCTGAGTGAAATAAATTTTACAATACTTTGTTTATTGTTATATTTAGCATAAATACATGAATGGCAGATTTATTATTGCTTTTCATATATACACATTTACTTGGGAGAGCAAAAGTGAGATTAAATAAGTGATTAGAAGTTGTCATTTTCATTTCTAAGTAATGCCACCCTAAACATTGCCTCTGCTCTTGATGTGATTGAGCTGTGAACTCCAGATACACAAAACAGTTCAAAGGGCTCTGTGTGAGCAAAAATCACAGAGCCCATTTTTGTAATTTAGCTATTACATAATCAAGATACTCATGGTGCCTGAGGTTGGAGACTATAAAAAGTGAAAAGAAACTTGATTTAAGTCAACATGGCGAAGTCAGCTGGTTAGATGGAAATAGCGATGACCTAGAGTAGTCACTGTCCCTGGCTGGCTGTGGGGACCATGAGGGAGAATGTGGCTGTGTCACAGCATCATTTAAGTGAAGGCCAAAGACTCTGTCATCACTGTTGTGTGAATATCCTTCAGGTACCAAAACCTAGGGGAACCCAAACCAGTCATTAAAATGTGGTGAAAAGAACCAGAGGAAGGTGGAATTGTTTGTTTATGAGCGACCCAGGCAGGGAAGAACTTTGCTTTGTGCCAGCCACTGTGTAAAGTAGTGAAGGAAATCTAGATTTTTTTGTTTGTGCCATTGTCTCTGATTTCAAGACATAAAATAATAATTTGAAAAGGTCAGAATGTTTTTGTTTTCAAGAAGCCTCACCGGTTATTATTTGGAATAAAGTGGCTTGGCAATATGAATATTGGATAGTTACCATGATCAAATGGAACCCCACAGACAATATTTTCTGTAAGTCATCTTGAATTATTTTCCAAATGCTGTCTTTTCACCAAGATTTTCACAGGCTCTCTCTCATAGAAATCAGACATGTGCCCTTCCAGGAGTCCATCACCTGATACAGGCTCGATTAAAAATAGGTGATGGGAGCTATCCCCAAGTTGCTGTTTAATGAAGGTTTCTGCAAGTCAGACCTTAAGATGTATGAGTAAACATGCATTATGAAAATGTAAGAAAACAGAATATTGTAATATTGTAGAAATAGTGTAAGAACAAAATAGTTTACTTTTGCTATCAAACCCTTACATCCTTTTCAGCCACACTAATCAAGGGGTCATAAGATGTGAGTTGCTAGGTTTATTTATTTATTTGGCAAGGAACTTGTTTTTATATTCCAACTAATTATTATAATAAATATATTTCTTTATCCATGGAAAAAGATATAATTCTACAATGTGCATTAGTAACCTTTTTTTGGGTTGTTGTTGTTGTCCTGTGATTACTTAAAAAAGAAAAAAAACAATTTAGAATGATTTGGAGGTGGCTTATCTGCTGAATAAGTTTTGGAGTTGAAGCAGAGAAATTAAAAGTGACATTAGATAGGCCCAGGACATTTCAGAAAATCTATGAATTTTTGAACAAATGAGCTATGGGAAATGATAAGAAAAACAATGGCATAAACCACGTTTTTTAGTTAGAATAGTATTCCTCAGGAAAATTCATATTCAAATTCTGGAACCAAGGGTTCGTTTTTCTAAATGTGGTCGACCTTAAGATATTCATGGTTTCAACTTATAATTGATCAAAGAATATAGGAATGTAGAAATGATAACTGACATGTGAAAACTGATGTTATAGTGCATAATTCTCATAAATAGAGGATTTGAGTTTGTGCCTAATTTCATTCATGATCAATGTTCAATTAATATCTTTAAAAAGATTTATGTAGGGGATTGAACTGTAGGAATTTAAATTTTGCTACCATTCATTTTTTGAGGCTGCTTTTATTTGATCTCTTTAATGTGTTACTTTTCAACTTAAATGTGTTATTTAATTTATCCCATTTTTCCTTTCATGACAGGTGAAATATAAAGAAAAATTTGATAATGAAATGAAGGATAAGAAGCATCATTATAATCCACTCGAAAGTGCTTCTTTTAGGCAAAATCAGCTGGCTACCTCTCTGGCAAGTAATGTAAGTTATAATTCATAGAAAATTATTTCCAGTGTCTTTTGATTCTTGCTTTCTTAGAGCTGTATGCAATTATTGATACTTAATCAAGATCATACAATTTCTAAGTGATTTTTAGTTGAAAACACTTAATCATATTTTCCTGAAGCTTTTTTTGAGAAAAACGTATTATTATAATTTACTATTAATGGTTACTGATTAGTAATTAGTTAATAAGTAGGAATGGAATTGCAGGTAAAATTATGTCTGATCAAGATTTGGAATAGATTACAGAGTTTTGTAGGGAAGAAGTGTGTGCGTTATCACAAATTAGTAGTTAGGACAATAATTAACTCATATAATTATGCCCACAAGATTGGGTATATTGTAAAGTATTACCTGGAACATGGGAATTTATCATAAAGAAATGTTCACAAATTGTACTGGTAATAGCTTAAAAGTTCCTTCATTTCTTTTATGTAAGTGCTATATAAGGTTTATTTTCGTGTTTTTAAAAATCAAGATCCATTCTATAAGAAATGATGTTTAAAATTCTTATTAGAAATAGGCAGTGTATAAAAACAGAAACATGAAAAATTGGGCACATTGCTATAGTTGAAAATGTACAGAGAACCTTCTGAATTATGAGAATTAGATATTATTAAACAGTTGCTTTATGGAATGATTTAAAACCTTCAACTCCACCCATCATCTCCTTGGAACTTAGTTTATCTCAGTTTCATTAATGTTTAAAAAGTACAGTTCTTTATACTCAATAGTCAACTTTGGTTTCAGCAATTGAAGTGGATGTTTTTGTCTTTTAGGACCACTGAGAGTATAACAATGATTTTTTTCTTATTTGATTGATTGATTGTGTGTGTGTGTGTGTGTGTGTGTGTATAAAGGAAATAAAGATGAGATGTACTTAAAGGAAACTGGGCCTAGTGCTGAAAGCTCAAGGTTTAGAATCATATTACCTGAATTTGAATCCTGTTCCAATAGTTATCATTATGCCTTCACTCTCTGTGCCTGTTTCCTCATCTGTAGTGCCTGGTACATAACAAGTGTTAGAAATGCTTGCTGTTAATATTTTATTCTTATTACCAGTGTTAAATTTCCAAAGCTGTTTTGGTATAAGAAAAAGAGAAAGAAACCAAAATAGATGTGTATGGTTTTTGAATGAAAAACAACAAAAGCCCAAAATTATCATGAAGCAAAATTGAAATAACCCTATTAGAATGTATACAGAATAGAGTGCTTTGTCTTTATTTCCAGAGTTCTATTATAATTACTTGAATCTGTTAATGTCACCCTTTGAGTATGGAAACAGTAAAAGGAATTATTAAAATACTTTCCAGTTCATAAAAATAAAACTTAAAAAAACTCACTCAGTAGTGAACCAGCACCATCTAGTGGCCATCTGTAAATTTATCTGTCGCCTGTAAGGGAGACCACTTTATGAAGTGTTAATGATAACGACAACACAAAGGTGTATTTTCTTCTCCTGGACGGTGTTCTGTTCTATGTTATTTCATAGGTGAAGTACAAGAAAGACATTCAAACTATGCATGATCCGGTTTCAGATGTCCCAAATTTGTTATTTTTAGACCATGCTTTGAAAGCCAGCAAAATGCTCAGTGGAGTAAGTGAGTTGCCTGATTGGCAACTGTAGATGTCCACGTGGCTCTGAGAAGCCAACCCTCCTGCCACGCTCATGAACTCACCCGCTGCTTAGAGGTGCCTGTGCGTCCCCCTCCCCAGCAACTAACTCATTGAGAAGCAGTCATCTGCTTGTGCAGAGAGTCCCAGCCAATCCTGGGCTCTCCACAAAGGCCTGCTCTTGAATACAACCACCCTTCCATGGGTCTGTGCAAGTCTTCTTTCCGACTTCCTTCCTCCTTTCTTATCATCTGTATTAGATGGAAGCTGTTCAAAGTTCAGGTTCTCAGTCAGAGATCTTTCATTTCATGCAGGCCAGACCACAGTGTCTGATATTTAGTCTGAAACTCAGTAGCATAAAAGATTGTCCTACTCCAGCCTGAGGTGGTGACTGTAATCCTAGCACTTGGGAGGCTGAGGCAGGAGGATGACGAGTTTGAGGTCCTGGGTCACATGGTGAGTCCCTGTCTAAAACAAAAACCAGAATATTTTCTTAGTTTAAATTGAAATGTCTGTGAAAGTAAATTGTAAGGTCTTTCTGTTACATCGTCACTGTACTTTTAGTCTTGTATTTCTGACGAGGAAGTGAGAGGGGCAGGGTGAATGCTCCCTGCCCTGATGGAAATATCTGTGTGCATGGCCCATGAGGCAATCCCTCATTCTCACACTGTGTCAACCCTTGCTGCATCTGCACACTGACTTCCCTGGTTCTCATGACTGATGACCCTGGGTTACATGTGGCTCCATTTGCTACATCTCGGGATGTCCCATGGTGATGCTGAGTTCCAGTTTGACCTCAGATTACTTCTATGCTTATTTTAATAATTGCTCACTCATTCATTCACTCACTTACCCACCCACTCACTCAAAAGTGTCCTAATTTATTGTAGAGGCACAGGTCAGATGGAGAAATATATGTTGGGCGAGGCATGAGTAAAAGTGAAGATAATTGTGTCAGCAAATGCGTCTGCTGTCATCGGCTTAAAACTGTAGTCAAAACTCTGTTTCCAGATGTAAATAATGAGACACAGTTCACTTTTCGACGTGTCTACACAGGGCTTTGATTTATCGAAACTTCTGTTCATTATTTTGTCTGTCTCTTTTCTTGAGCATCGCTACTGCTGTCACTATCATCCTTCTGAAAAATGTATACTGTATGTAAATAATTATACGTACAAAGATTTGTTTTAATTTAAAAAGTCACTGGTCCTTCGATGGGAAACAGTATGTCATCCTTTCTGGTCTGATGAGCAAGGAATGGAGTTTAAAGGAATATGAACGTGTTTACCATTAGCACTTTGGTTCCAGGACACTTTAGTCACATTGTCCTTTCTTGTCAATGCTTGCCCCTTTGCCTTTGTACACACCCCACCATCCTCCAGTGTTTCTGTTTCAGTTTTATGGTGTTCTCCATGGCTCATCCACATGCTTCTAGAAAGGACCTATTGCTCTCCTCTGAGCCCTCTGCTTTCTTCACAGGCATTGGCATCCCGTTGGATCAGTGGCATTTTCTCTTGACTGTTTGCTGCCTATACTTAGGTTAAGTTTCCTAGGAACATGGGATTCATGGTAAATATGCAGGAAAATATGGAATTTTGCATCTAGAAGAATGCATGCCACTCATAAATGATATTTCTTTTCAAGAATGTTGACTTTTACTGTATAGCAATAGTGAAAAAAAATCACAGTTTAATATAAATCATTTCAGTCATTTCTTCAACAGAGAAAAACAGCCAAAGTGTATTTTCTACCTATTTTGTACATAATTTGTAAAGTTTTAGTCTGCCTTTGCCTATATCACAGAATTTTTCTTTCCCCTCAGAAAAATTGTGAATGATTACATCATGAGCCAGAAAATTTTACTTAAAAATGTTTCTAGGAAGCATCTACTTACTAAAGGTGAACAATAATACATTGACTCAAATTATTGTACATCAGAATAGCCTTCTTTTAAATTTTAATGTAAGCAGAATTGAATTTTCCTTGATATATAAAAGCAACTTAACTTTATTAAAAGAATGAATAAGAGATAACTCATTAAAGATGTTTTGCCAAAACTAATTTTGCATTTGTTATAAATGGCTGTTTTATAAGACCTCTAGATGTTTTTAATATACGTCAGAATTCTTTTTATCTTAACATGTAGCATGTGGAGTGAAATGAATGACTTATGAGTTTGTGCAGCCACACTAATTTAACTTTTGAAGAAACATCTTCCCCTGGAAAATGCAGCTTTGACAGGTTTCAGTTTCTTTTATAACAATATAAATTAAAATTATGTAGATGGTGTTACTTTGAGTAACGTCCACTAGAGGGCAACAGAGACTATTATATGTAGAAAAACAAGTCCAAGTATTGGAAACTCTTGCAAATCTTAGTTCACATGAGTTTTGTTTTTGTTTTTTTTTAAAGATAAGACTTCCTGAAATTCTTTGTAGCTAAAATAGGTAATTATGTTGGAAACAATATTTATTGGCCTTTTCTTAGTGTGAATCTATTATTCCAAATGTATAAATGTAGCCTTTAGTAGCTCTGGATTTTGGCTCAGTAATGAAATATGTTCTAGCTTATTACATTCACATCATGGTTATTTTAGAAATCTATATTATAAGATAATTTCTAGTTAAATTATAAAGCTTCTTAGTATGTCATTATTTTTCACTGCCTATTTTTATTTTTGCTTTAGTGAGTTTTAATTTAAAAGTAGTAGACTAGCCAGAACTTAGTTTCTCTTCAGTCGAGTCGTACGTCTTCTGTGCACATTATGGCTTTCCTTCAGTACTTTTCACCCTCACTTTACTCTGGATAGAGTTTTGGGGGTCACAGATTGTTGCTTCCTAACAGACAGGAGACACTTGAGGCCAGGCTACCTCTGTGGACCATCGCTGTGTCCCGCAGGGAACAGCAGCTCCCCTGTAGCAGGTCACCTGACCCTCCTTCTGTCCATCGTCTGCTGGGCTTTCTTCCCCTTTCTCCCTTTTTCTTCCCCTTTCTCCTGATCCTTTCAAATGTCTCCCTCTACTGCATGCAAGATTGCCATTTTTATTGAAACCTATTGCCTAATGAGCAACTCACTCTCTGTACCCTTGAGACGTCAGACTTACTGTTGACTTCAGAAAGTCTTTTCCAAAATGACTGTGTCTAGTCTCCAGTGATGGAAGTACTGAAGCAGTTTTTGCCTCGTTGCTGCCCTTGTTATTGAGTCCTACAGTTGCTAGACTTGGCATCCTTACTCATTCTGGTCTCTTCCAAATTTACTTTTCCATCTGCCTTTCTAAATAGTAGCCTTACTCAAATTTCTTTACCTTAAAAATTCCATGATCTGTATGGAGATTCCTCAGTTCCTTTTCCAGGCACTTTCTTTCTCTCACTCTTCATTACTGGGGTTTGAACTTAGAGCCTCACGTTTGCTGGACAAGCATCCTACCACTTGAGTTATACACACAGCCCTTTTTGTTTTAGTTTATTTTTCAGGTGGGGCCTCATGCTTTTGCTGGGGTTAGTCTCAGACCACAGTTCTCCTACCTCTGCCTTCTGAGTAGCTGGGATTACAGGCAGGTACCACCATACCTGGCCCTCTTTCCTTTTCTTCTTATGGACACTATTAAAGATGTTCCCATCCTATGATAAGGGCAGAACACAGAGCCTGCATTTTATCCTGCCTTGCCAATTCATGATCCTCCAGGGGTGTCATCAGTTACTAGCTTTTGCATTGCCACTCATTGGTGTTGCTACTGTCCTTTACGTTGTGTTTCTTGTCCTTGGAGTGTCTCATGTGCTATTGGCACTGACTATCTTGAGCTATCTTGCATGTCACTGCAGATGGAGACATAACTGCAGCAGCTCTTGGTGGCTTGTTTTTCTGTTTGCATTGCTAAAGCTTAGTTGCTCTAAACAGTCTCTTTCATTCTAAGACCACTTTCATGTCTTGTATTTCAGCGAGAATATAGGAAGCACTTTGAGGAGAACAAAGGGATGTACCATTTTGACGCAGATGCCACAGAACACCTGCACCACAAGGGCAACGCTGCGCTCCAGAGTCAGGTGTGTGTGTGCTCTGCCCTGGCCCTCCCTGCCAGGACATGTGGTCATGGTGTCATCCCTGCTCACCACCACCCACCTCCACTGAAAAGAATAGATCCTGGGGACACCAATGTTGGGAAAAAATCTCAACCTATATTTCCTATCTATTTATTGGGTCAGGAATAAAATATAAAGTATAAATAAGTAAAGTGTAAAGACGCCTCATAAAATAACAGTTAATTCCCATAATTAAAAACCTCATAATGGGAATTAATTAAACTATGGTCAAATCTCACTGTACTAATTTGTCATTTTGAGCTGCAAAATTAGCTTTCCGGGTGCTGGGTTTATTGTAATTTCTCAGTTCAATTACAAGTGTTACTGAAAAGGGAAAACAATCTTGCCAGTGTATTCCAAATTAGTGTTTCTTCCAACTATGAAATCTTCTGTACTGTCTGAAAGAAATTTTTAAAAAATATTTTCTTCCTAACCCACCTTTTTTTAAAAATTCTGAGTTTAAATAGTTGCTAAAGAGGGACATCATCTTCAGCATTTTAAGATAAAATTTTATATTGCTCTTTTAAATGTTTTTTTGTGGGACATAAATTCCATAATGATTTTATGCCTAATTCCATTTATCTTAAAAAAAAAACCAACTAGCTCCACTTTAATTTTTGGAAATATATTTTTTCATTGTTCTTCCTTTGACAGACATGTAGAGAATTACACCCAGGTTTTCCTACGATTTGTTAGTAGTCATGGAAATCATCACAGAGCCCTGTCTCTCCCACTTCTTCCCCTCCTTTCCTTTCTGCCCCTCCCTCCCTACTTATGTGGGCATAACGTGTACATGTAGAACTAACCCCGTACATACATCTATACACCCTAGTTACTCAAATAACACTTTATATATTCCTTTATACAACTGCATTATTTAAATGCTTTCGATTATTTATTTATTTTTAAATTGTATATCTTTAATTTTTTTTGTTTTTACAGTCCTGGGAATTAAGCCCAGGATTTTACGTGTGCTGGATAAGCACTTCACCACTGAGGGGCTTCCACAGCCCATCTAAGCTACTTTTATCCCTTACTTTCTTTGCATTTCACTAACCCCAGTGCTTGATTTTGGGAAAACAAGATGATTAATTTGGATACTTAATTATTTTACTTTGCTTTACATAAGAGCTTTAGATTTTTGTTGGCTTTTGTTTTATTTTGTGTTTTGGTGCTGGGGATGGAGCCTCGGGCTTCATACATTCAAGGCATGCGCTGTACCACTGAGCACCACCCCCAGCCTTGATTTTTAATATTTTTTCAATGAAGGTCAAATACAGAGAAGAATATGAGAGAAATAAGGGAAAGTCGATGCTTGAATTTGTTGAGACGCCATCATATCAAGCTTCAAAGGAAGCTCAAAGGATGCAAAGTGAGGTAGGCCATTGGGTTTGTTATCAATTCTTAAGTTTTATCATTTGAAAAGAATCAGCAGTGATTGTGTTAGTGGAGCTGGAGAGAACACAGCTCCAACAAACTCGAAACTGTGGTCTAGATCTGGTCCCCAAGGACCTGCCTGAAGTCCTGTCCCAGTCACTGACTTTGTATGCTCTTCAGTTTTTGAATGTGGACATCAGCTCGATGAGCTTTTTAAAGCCTTTCTCAGCTTGTGCACTCCATAATCATGTGACCAATGCTTTCAGATCATGTCGACATTAAAGCCATGTTGAGTCCCTAACAACTAAGCAGAAAATGAAGAGCTGGGTCTTTATTTACCTTTTTTTTTTTTTTCCTTCAATGACAATAGAACCAACGTTTATTAAGTCCTTATTTTGTGCTATGTAATTTGCTAAGAGTCTTATATACATCAGCTCATTTAATCCTCAAATAATGACTGGAGGAAGGTGTCATCCTTAGATTTATAAAATATACAGTGAAATTAGTTGTCTTAAAGTAACATGTCCAGTAAATACCAGTGTTTTAGAACCTGGTAAAAATACTGCATACTTCTGGTTTTGTGTGTGTGTGTGTGTGTGTGTGTGTGTGTGTAAGCATATTTAATTGATAGGTTTTTTTTTAATTGTTCCTATTTACTTATTTTGTTCCCAACCTAACATAATATTAACTCACATCCAGATATTTTCATACTGGTGTTTCTCTGTCCCATGAGATGATCTCTTTCCTCTTCTTCTTTTTTCCTCCTCCTCCTTCCCCATTTTCTTTTTTTTTAACCTTCTTGTTTGGGGATTGTATCTGACATCCAAATTCTGTGGTTACAACTAAGTTATTACTTCAAATGGAAGGAAGTAGTGAGCCATAGTTTCAGCCAGTTACAACTCTGGTGTTATATATAGGGGTGCTCAGTGCCCAAGGTCCTTTTTCCAGTAACAACATCGGAGTGGAGAAATGGTAATGTCTGGATGAAAATCTCTTCTAGGAATTTTGTCAGCATTGCTGTTTGCTGTTTTCTTTGTTGTGATGTTATAATTAGTCTTTTTGGAAAGAAGGGCACTCAGACGTTACTGAGGTTTGACTAGTCAAAGTTGCTTAATTTCTCCTTAAAGCCAGAGAGGAAAAAGTAATTATGTGTGTTTTTTCATGTCTTATGACTTCTTAAACCAATAAGGGTAAATTTCATAAAGAAAGGTAACTACATGACTGAATTAGCTGTTTTTGTTTGGTCATTTATTTGTTTGGTTTTAGTAGTCCCAGGGGTTGAACTCAGGGTCTTGTGCTTGCTAGTTTAATCCGGCTCTCTTACCACTTGAGCCTTGCTGCCAGTCCTTTCTGTGTTTGTTGTTTTGAGATAGAGTCTCACTTTGCCTGGGCCAGCCCTGACTGCAGTTCTCCTATTTGGACTTCCCCTCATAGCAGAGATGACAGTTTGTGTTCAGCCATTGGTTAGGATGGGGTCTTATGAACTTTTCTTTTCCTCTTGGGCTGGTCTGGAACTTTGATCCTCCAGATATCTGCCTCTTGAGTAGCTGGGATTATAGGCATTGACCATTATGCCTGGCCTCGCTGTTTGTTTTCACTGACAGGGCAGAACTGGTCAATTTGGTAAAAATTCAGAGGCCCCATAAGATTACAATGTAATGGGGTAAATGATCCTGGAATCACTTTTCTCCATTTAGGGACAGTGATTTACATATCTTCTAATTATTTTATTGTCTTCCACTACATTGGTTCCTTTTGGGTGAGCTAGAATCAGCTTTTTAACGAATTTCCTGATTTATAGAAATAATACAACCATGGTCACTGGTCCTCAGCCCAGAGAAAGATTTCCACTTTGAGAAATAATCTTTCCCTTAGTGAGTTTTCTGGAAGATTAATACTATGTGAAGTTGTTAAATCCTTGTGAGATCCCTCTTAGTGAGACAGAGGGATCAGAAATCACTTTCCTGAAAGCAACCCCAGGAGCTGGCCTTACCCTCATCTTCCCAGCAGCCTCTTCATGGCCTCTTTGGCTGGGCTCTCTATCTCCCTTCTATCTCTCCTCCTTCTTTGATCTTTAGCCACAGAAATATCCGTGCTGAGGATCCTTTTATCATTATGGTCCTAGGGTTCCTTCATTTTATTTTTTACATTTACTTGTTAACTTTCTTCTCACCAACAAATCCCAGACCCTGTAATTCTGGTTGTGTATTTTGATGCCATGTATCTGAATTACAAGTGACAGTGATTTGTGACTGTGGAGTTTAGCCCCTCTTCTCTTGTGATAGCCTGTCTCTTTTCTTCACCCAATTTATTCTTTCCTTTCTTCCTAGTGGGTCATCCCTTCCCTTTAATGATAACTGACTATTAGATTACTTTAAGCCATCAGCTATGCAGAGCTGGAGGAGATCAAGCCTTCTAATAGGAAATATCTTAAGATCAAATTTATACTCTGAAACCTAGAAAAATAAAGAATTCAAAAATTTTAGACAAAGTTTGATGGGAAAATGCCTTGATAGGAAAATATAAAGAGAGTGCCCTGTCTAAGAGATGGTTTTATTCCTGAGATTCAGGCTTCACTGTGTTTTCTGAGGTGCCTCCTGTGGCTAAAGCTAAGTATTTATGATTTCAAGAAAAGCCACTCGTGTCTTTGCTGTGGCCTTTAATTATTCTTATCTCACTTTCTTCCAGTGGCAGAAATAGGTTTAATCTGTGTGTTTTTTAGAAGAAATTAACTCTGTCCTTGAAAAGTTCTTTGTCTTTTCTTTCACAAATATAGCTCTCCTAGCAAAAAGGCACTCCAAGATTTTTTATGTTTATTTTTTAAGCCTTCACATTGGCCAGTTCCAGTCATAATCAACCTTCCTTAATGACTTAATTCACCAAAATATTTTTTGAAGTGAAATATCTAGTATAAAGAAAAAAATAAATGTACATCCATATTTCTGTTTCACTTTATAGAGTCCTTTGGACCTGGAAATGCTTAGATTCAGCCTTCTAACTTATTATCTAGGTTAGTTCCACATTACAGAAAGGACAGCTTCTCATTATTGCTCTTTGGTGTATGCAAAACTCTTTAATTCAGAGTTCTGTCAGTACGACTTCTTGATTGGGCTTACAGAACATCTTTTGTAGCCTCTCCTCCCAGCTGTCCATGTTATTGACTGAGGGACTGCATGGGACACATATGCTAAGTGAGGAGGTACCATGGTTCTTCTTCTCCCTCATGCTTTGGAGATGTTCTTTCTTTACACAATTACCTTTCTCTCTAATAAATGCATAATGAACTGGGGAATAGCTTCTCATTTTTCAGTAATAACAATCTCAGGCAGAACTCATTTATTTTTATTATATTTAGATGCAATTTAAGTAAAATATTTAGCTGGTAAAATCTGGCCCTTGTTTAGGAAACGTTTCACATGAATAGACATTTTTAAGATTTATAGAGACTACCCTCACTGTCATAAAAATGGGTTATCATTGATTTTTCAGATGTGTAGCACAAATGTTAGAATTTAGAGAATCATGGCAGAGGGGTGGCAAAGCAGGCCTAAGGCTCAGGGTCTAGGCCCTCCCCATCGCCTTCAGCATCCTCCTTTTCTTTCTTTCTTTTTTTTATTCATTTAGTCACATGTGCATACATTGTTTGGGTCCTTTCTCCCCCCTCCTCCCTCCCCCATTCTGTCCCCCCTCCCCCCATCAGTTCCAGGCAGAACCTGTGCTGCCTTTATCACTAATTTTATTGAAGAAAAGATACAAAGAAAGACAAAGCATTTTTGCTAGTTGAGTTCAGGATAGCTGTACAGAAAGATTCCTAGCACTGCTTTCGTGTACACGTGTTATGACCCATGTTGGTTCTTTGTTTTGTTTTTTTGTGGAGCTGGGAATGGAACCCAGGGCCTCCAGCATGTTAGGCAAGTGCTCTACCGCTGAGCTACACCCCCAGCACCTTATGAATTATTACCTAACGAAGGATTTATCAGGTTACGACAAGGTTGTCCTCACAGTTTAAATGGGTACATAAATGATACAGAAATCCTCTCATTGCCAAAATCAGGCAAATACACCACCTCCACCTACTTCCTTACATTTTAGAAATGGTCTTTCCAGAATTCACAAAAGAGTGACAATGAGTAGGATGGTGAAGCCATGGCCATGGCTTTTCAAACTTTGGTTTGACTAGGATTCCAAAATACCAGATTTTGTTCCAGTGGATGGATCAAACTTCCCTTTGAGTGAACCAATCATATAATCCAATCAAAGAGCCAATCTTATTGGTTCCTGCCCTAAAATGGGGAGATGTTATATCAGAGATTAGCAGTTTCACTTAGGATGAGGTGATGATGTTTGATAATTCCACTTTTGTTGTTTCAAGATTTTGTAGAATCTTGAAATTTATGGTGAAATCGGAATTATTTTCCATCAATAAGAAGACTCCAAGGCAGTAGAATTTTATAAGAAAACATCAATTCTGTCCTCTTGTTCTCATGTCTTTCCAACGCTCACTACACTGAACATTATGTGTTCTTGTTTAACAGAAAGTTTACAAAGAGGACTTTGAGAAGGAGATTAAAGGAAGGTCCTCCCTGGATTTAGACAAGACTCCTGAGTTTCTACATGTAAAGTACATCACCAGCCTGCTGAGGGAGGTATGATCTATTAAACTGCACAAATGAAAACTAAAGAAGTAACACAGGAATTGTTTCCTTAATAAGTTTCTTCTGATTGAGTGTCTGAAATAGTAACTCTTTTCTCTTACCTTCATTTTGACTTTTTCTTTTTCTTTTTATTGTTTTATTAATCATATGTGCATACAAGGCTTGGGCCATTTCTCCCCCCTGCATTTTGACTTTTCCTAATAAAGCCTTGAACTTTCATTAAAAATAAGAAAGTATGTGTTAATATGTCTCAGGTTGAAGAAAGAACTTACTCAGATTTCCTGAAAAAACTTAAAAAAAATTCTGATTTTGTGTCTTGATTGTAGCTCAGAAGCTCAGTAAGGAGTGGGTTTTACAGTTTCATAGTATTTAATTAACAAAAATACTTTGAAGATAGGTGGGTCAAGCTTGATTCTTTTAAATTTAGTTGTTATAAAAACAAACCTTAGAACCAACTTTTTCTGTAGCTTCCCTGGGGTATTCTTATGGCATTTGATATCAGAAATGAGGCACTCATGTGTGAGTCAGGCTGAATAGTACATTATTCATAGGGCCTCTGTGCTCTCTGTAGGGGAATTATATAGGTAGCATATAGAACAGAGGAACTCATGTCCTGTTCACTTTAATCTCCACAGAGTTCTCCTCCCCCTCAAACCTCAAGTTGCATTTTGACAGACAACTAATATCCTAAATTTGGTGAACATTAATGTCCTCTAATCTAACAATTTTAAATATTGTGCTTTATAGTCCATCTCTTTTAAAGCTTTTTTCCTCCCAAATGGCTGAAAAGGAACATAGAACTCTTCTAAACTGTGCTTCAATACTTTCCATTAATATAAGTAGAATATAAATTAATGGAATGTGTGTAACACACAATGTAAGTGGAGTAGATCTGTATTTTAAAAATGGAAAGTGAAATTCTATCTTACTTCTGAATTTTTAAAATTTAATTTAATTTAATTTTATTATTCATTTATTTACATGTGCATACATTGTTTGGGTCATTTCTCCCCCCTGCCCCCTGCTCTCACCCTCTCCCCCTCACCTCCCCTCGCTTCCAGGCAGAACCTGTTCTGCCCTTATCTAATTTTGTTGAAGAGAAGACATAAGCATAATAAGGAAGACAAAGCATTTTTGCTAGATGAGTTAAGGACAGCTATACAGAAAGATTCCTAGCATTGCTTCCATGTACAAAAGTGTTACGACCCAAGTTGATTCATCTCTAACTGATCTTTACACTGGTTCCTGATCCCCTTCTCATGTTGACCTCTGTCGCTTTAAGGTTTCTATATTAGTTCCTCTGGAGTGGGAACATCAAATGCTTTCATGTTTTCGGTTTTCAACCTATTCCCATTCCTCCTGTATGTGCTCTCCCCTTATATGTGACCCAAGTCCAACCACATTGTTATATTTGCCTTAGATCTAAAGTCCACATATGAGGGAGAACATATGATTTTTGGTCTTCTGAGCCTGGCTAACCTCACTCAGAATGATGTTCTCCAGTTCCATCCATTCATTTGTGAATGATAAGATTTCATTCTTCTTCATGACTGAGTAAAATTCCATTGTGTATAAAAAGCACATTTTCTTGATCCATTCGTCAGTAGTGGGGCAATTTGGTTGTTTCCATAACTTAGCTATTGTGAATAGTGCTGCAATAAACATGGATGTGCAAGTGCCTCTGGAGTTACATGTGTCGCATTCCTTTGGGTATATCCCCAGGAGTGGGATTGCTGGATCATATGGCAGATCTATGTTTAGGTTTTTAAGAAGCCTCCAAATTTTTTACAGAGTGGTTGCACTAGCTTGCATTCCCACCAGCAGTGTATGAGGGTTCCTTTTTCCCCACATCCTCGCCAACACCTGTTGTTAGTGGTGTTTTTGATGATGACTATTCTAATAGCGGCGAGGTGGAATCTTAGTGTGGTTTTGATTTGCATTTCCTTAATGGCTAGAAATGGTGAGCATTTTTTCATGTGCTTTTTGGCCATTTGAATTTCTTTTGAGAAAGTTCTGTTTAGTTCAGTTGCCTATTTCTTTACTGTTTCATTAGTTTTGGGAGAATTTAGTTTTTTAAATTCCCTGTATATTCTGGTTATCAGTCCTTTGTTTGATGTGTAGCTGGCAAATATTTTCTCCCACTCTGTGGGTGTTCTGTTCAGTTTAGAGACCATTCTTTTGTGGTGCAGAAGCTTTTTAGTTTATGAAGTCCCATTTGTCCATTCTTTCTTTTAGTTGCTGAGCTGCTGGGGTTCTATTGAGGAAGTTCTTGCCTATACCTATTACTTACAAAGTGTTTCCTGCTCCTTCCTGTACCAACTTCAGAGTTTCTGGTCTGATATTAAGGTCCTTGATCCCTTTTGAGTTGATACTAGTACAGGGTGATAAACATGGATCTAGTTTCAGTTTCTTGCAGGCAGATAACCACTTTTCCCAACAACATTTGTTGAAGAGGCTATCTTTTCTCCATCATATATTTTTGGTACTTTTGTCAAAAATAAGGTGGGTATAGTTGTGTAGATTCATATCCGGATCCCCTATTCTGTTCCACTGGTCTTCATGTCTGTTTTTGTGCCAGTACCATGCTGTTTTTATTGTTATTGCTTTGTTATATAGTTTGAAGTCAGGTATTGTGATACCTCTAGCATTGCTCTTTTTCCTGAGTAGTGGCTTGGCTATTTGTGGTCTCTTGTGTTTCCAAATGAACTTTCAAGTGGATTTTTCAATCTCTGTGATGAAAGTCACTGGGATTTTGATGGGAATTGCATTAAACATGTAGATTGCTTTTGGTAGTATAACCATTTTTGCTATGCTGATTCTACCAATCCATGAGCACAGGAGATCTTTCCATCTTCTGTAGTCTTCCTCAACCACTTTCTTCAGGGGTTTGTAGTTCTCCTTATAGAGGTCATTCACATCTTTTGTTAAGTTTACTCCTAGGTGTTTGATTTTTTTTAAGGCTACTGTAAATGGAATTGTTTCCATATATTCCTTCTCAGTTTGTTCGTTGTTGGTATATAGAAAAGCTAAGAATTTTTGTAAATTGATTTTGTATCCTGCCATCTTGCTGTAGCTGTTTATGGTGTCTAGGAGTTTTTTGGGTAGAGTGTTTTGGGTCTTTAAGGTATAGGATCATATCATCTGCAAATAGGGAAATTCTGACAGTTTCTTTACCTATTTGCATTCCTTTTATTTCTTCTTCTTGCCTAATTGCTCTGGCATGGAATTCCACTACTATATTGAATAGGAATGGGGATAGTGGGCACCCTTGTCTCATTCCTGATTTTAGGGGAAGTGGTTTCAGTTTTTCACCATTGAGTATGATGTTGGCTGTAGGTTTGTCATATATAGCCTATACAATGTTGTGGAGCATTCCTTCTATTCCTAGTTTTCTTAGAGCTTTTATCATGAAGTGGTGTTGGATCTTGTCGAAGGCTCTTTCTGCATCTATTGAGATGATCAAGTGGTTTTGTCTTTGCTTCTATTAATATTACATTTATAGATTTCTGTATGTTGAACCACCCCTGCATCCCTAGGATGAAGCCGACTTGGTCATGGTGGATGATCTTTTGATGTGGTGTTGGATTCCGTTTGCCATTATTTTATTCCGTTTGCCATTATTTTATTGAGGATTTTTGCATCAATGTTCATTAAGGAAATTGGCTTATAGTTCTCCTTTCTGGTGGTGTCTTTATCTGGTTTTGGGATGAGAGTAATATTGGCTTCATACAATGAGCTAGGTGGCGTTCCTTCCCTTTCTACTTCATGGAACAATTTAAGGAGGGTTCGTATTAGTTCTTTAAAGGTCTGATAGAATTCAGCAGAGAATCCATCAGGTCTGGACTTTTCTTTTTTGGGATACTATTGCTGGTTCAATTTCATTTTGTGTTATAGATCCAGTCAGGTGATTAATATCCTCTTGGTTCAGTTTTGTATGGTCGTAAGTATCTAGAAATCTGTCCATTTCTTCAAGATTTTCAAATTTATTAGAATATAAGTTCTCAAAGTAGTTTCTGATGATTTCCTGGATTTCCATGGTGTTTGTTGTTATCTCCCCTTTAGCATTTCTGATTTTACTAATTTGGGTTTTTCTCTCCTCATTTTAGTCAGGTTTGCCAGGGGTCTGTCAATCTTATTTATTTTTTCAAAGAACCAGCTTTTTGTTTCATTGCTTCTTTGTATGGTTTTTTGGTTTCTATTTCATTGATTTCAGCCCTTATTTTTATTGTTTCTCTCCTTCTGCTTGTTTTGGGATTTGCTTGTTCTTGTTTTTGTAGGACTCTGAGATGTAGCATTAGGTCATTGATTTGAGATCTTTCTGACCTTTAATATATGAAGTCATGGCTATAAACTTTCCTCTTAGGACTGCCTTTGCTGTGTCCCATAGGTTCCCGTAGGTCATGTTTTCATTCTAATTAACTTCCAGGAACCTTTTAATTTACTCTTTTATTTCCTTAATGACCCATTGATCATTGAGCAATGTGTTGGTCAGCTTCTAGTTGCTTGCATGTTTTTTACTGTTTTTGTTGTTGAGTTCTAGTTTTAATGCATTATGATCAAATAGAATGCATGGGATTATTTCTATTTTCTTACATTTGCTGAGGCTTGCTTTGTGCCCTAAGGTATGATCAATTTTGGAGAAAGTTCAAGGGCTGCTGAGAAGAATGTATATTGTTAGAAGTTGGATGAAATATTCTGTAGATATCAGCTAGGTCCATTTGATCTATGATGTGATTTAGTTCTAGAATTTCTGTATTGATTTTTTGTTTGGATGACCTCTCTATTGGTGATGGGGGTATTAAAGTCCCACTACTACTGTGTAGGAGTCTATATATGTTTTTAGGTCCTTCAGAGTATGTTTGAAGAAAGTGGGTACATTGATGTTGGGTGCATATAGGTTGATAATTGTTACTTCCTTTTGGTGTAATTTCTTTTTTATTAGTATGGAGTGTCCTTCTTTATCTCTTTTGATCAAAGTAAGTTTGAAGTCT